CAGCGTCACACAATACAATAACAACATAGATAACGCGAGTAAAAAATAGTAATAATAAACAACTTAATTAATCGATAAAACGTAAATGAAATTATCAACACGAATGTAATACACATTATTTAAGTTCCACCATATATTGGACAAATCACAATAACAATTTGAATTAAATTTAAATTATACCGTATAATTTTAAGCAAATCGTTAGTACTAGTATAAACAGCTAAAACATAATAATATGTTTTAAGAATTATTATATTCAACTCCTGTTTGTTCAACCAACTTCCCTTTACCTCCTAAAAAGAAAATGACCTAAATTTACCTAACGTTAATTTATTTTATACTAAAGTTATGTTGAACGTACAATCATTAAATAAATATCATGCACTCAATTTGTACGAAAACTTTGCCAAAAAAATCACATAGAAGAAATCATTTTTAATTTTAGTAGTTTTTTTTTATGTTTTAATAGTGACACCCATAGAAGTAATAATACAGAATTTAGTCCATACTTTGTTGTGATAAAGAGAGAACAAAGGTCTGGCTGTTCTTGGTGTTCTATTATTACTAATTTTAATTAGTGATAAAACAAAACCGTAAATTTCAAAACTATTAAAAAATGTAAAAGTACTTTGTACTTAATTAACTTTTTTTAAGTTTAACACTACGCATTTTAGGAACTATGATATGAAGCATTTATTTTTATTCATCCTTATAATCCTTTATAGACTATCGTGGGTATATGTTACAGAAAAAAATTCCAATTTTCAAATACGGTAGTTATCGGACCTTCATATAAGATATGAAAGTCCCAATTTGCTAATAATACTATTTTGTCGACATATTTCATGTGTAATAAAAATAGTATCACCAATGTTGACTGTCTCTGCAGCAGCATACACATGATTTATTTCTAGATTTAATAGCAACTGATTAAAGTGGTGTCTTCGTGTAAATATAACGATACATACACAATAAAACTCTTTTACACCTTGTATAATTTACCAAATGCTCTAAGTTTTACATAATGAAATGGACTTCTGACTTTCATATACATTAAAGTTAAACGACTACACACAACTTCTTAGATACGATCTGCACTAGATCCCCTTAAAAGTTGGCATAAAGCACTAGTAAGCGGAACATCGTTAGCCTATGTTATTCTTATAGCTTCAACGCAGTCTTAAATAGGTAACTGTTCTACAAAATTGTGTTTTTTTACGTACGACTGGACTCACAGTAGCTTGTAACAATATGAGTATTTTCTTCTGACCTAGTGTTAACATGTTAACATTTTACTCTCTAACTAATAAGTAATAACGGTTTGTATCCCAAAATAAAATGTTTTCTTTCAATTGGAGTAACCACCATAAACGAATAACTGCTATGTTATTTTTTTTCTAAACTCAAATTTAGACTAAACTTATCTATTCCAACCAGACCAATTGAAAAAGTCATATTATGAGTCGTATTAGAAGCGTGGAATTCAAAGACGATCAATAAAAAGTTTTGCCTTATGTCATATTAGAATACTAAACTTTTGTCCAATGTAAAGGTAAAAAAATATATATCTGTATTTAGTATCTTATTAGAGCTCTCTTTTTTGGGGTTGACTGAAGTTCATAATACTACTAATTAAATTAAAACTCGTAATGTTACTAATAAAAGTGACATACTAATGCCACACACAGATGTTTGTCATAGCAAAATCGTCAATATAATCTATAAAATTTCTCCGATTTAGCATTACTAGGCCTGACAGTAAAAATAAAACAAAATTTATATATTTTTACACACATTATAAGTTGTATACTTATCAATGCGATAACGACACTGTGTAAATGGTTATTTTATGATGCGGATTTTTTACCCTTTTTTTGTTTTTAATACTTGAACTTGTTATTTAACAGAAAAAAAGTCGTAAAAAAATAAGCATTAAGAAACGGACATTTTCTAAAAAGCGCAAAATCGTGATTTATGGTTTCTAAAAACTTTTTACCGGGACACAGCCGTTCTGTCTCTCTTGAATGTTATCATTTCAACATACGCCCAAAAAAAACCTGAAAAGTATTATCCGCACCGTAAAAACTACATAATTTAATTAATAATTTCACTTTGCTTAATTACACGAGCAGTGTGGCGAAATATTATATAGAGATATATGGCTGCATGTAGGACAGTTTTTATTTCTTCTCCATTTAAACTCACTGTCAGATAATTTAACACCAAGATTTTAAGTTACAATATTTACGCTATGTCAAAATACCTACCACAAAAAAAACATTTATTGACATTCCTTCGATCGTTTTCTTATAAAAAAAAACTTTTAAATATATTCAACGGGTTTGGTTAATAAATAATATGCACAATTTTTACACATGTAAATTTCCTAATTAACTAGTTAAAATATTAATAGATTCTTAGCTTAAAAAGTTAACGTCATACATATTAAAGTAAATTTTAAAATCTGTACTTAATCATTTATTATCAAGAAAACTCAAAATTCAAACAACACAATTATTACATTTATTGTTTAAAAATGGTTTATATTCATAATTATTAGTTTTCACTATAAACAGTTTTGCATCAAAGTTTAATTATTTAAAACTCAGTTATACTAATTATTCCAGATGACCTGTGATTTCCCCGTCTTTAATATTACCCGTTCCTACTATGCTTGTTTTTTAAATTTTAATATGTATTAATATTGTTGTGTGAGGTAACGCAAAACTATTGATCACCTAAACACTCACCCAGTGCGTAGACACAGGGGGAGGGGGCTTAGGGGGTTCAACCCCCCCCCTTACACTTTATTTAGCTTAATACTTAAATTTTATAATACCATTAGTTGTTTTAATTGTTATCACATATCGGTTATCGATATAAAAATTACAATTGTTCAAAAAGAGTAAAAACATACCTAGAAATACTATGAAAGAGGTAAATTGTAATCATAAACAATTTTTAATTGTATTTTAATCATCTAACTTATTTTAAACAGGATCGTCTAAATGGCTTAGTTCTTCAAAGCTATAATCGAGATGAATTTGCCAAAAAGCCAAGAAAAATAGTTATTTTGTTATAACTTATAAGTGTTAAAAAGTGAAATAAACTTAGTGTTTTTTTTTTGAAATGCCTGAAAAAGTATTGGATAAATTGGCAAGTAAGCCAAGAAAAACACAAAATTTTTTTGTAAGTGAAATAAATCTAATGAGTTTTTTTTCAACCATGAACCACCCCCATAAAAAATTCCTGTCTACGCCACTGCACTCACCTGTGTTTTATAATTTTTAAATTGAATCGATTTATATGGGTCGATCCATTAAAGTCCATCGTTTAATTTATCCGCCGTTTATAATAATATTCACCGACTTGAGATAATTTTTATGAGACTCGTTTAGTTAAACCGAGATTAACCTGTAGCGCGTATTAATTGTTTTATTGTCTTTAAATCTTTAATAGTAATTAATAGTCGTCAGTCAAACATCGATTTTTTTTTCTTCTTTAAATATTATTATTTTTATGTACCCAATATAATCTTAGGTCTTAAGGTAAACAATGCCCCGTATCTGTTTGACAGAAACAGCTGTAAGCGGGGATGAATTTCCGGTCCATCGGCGGAATAATGCAATTTAAAATGCTTAAGTCGTTTTAACCACCTGCATGTGCTTTTTCCATAGACTTGGACGGTGACGGCGGTGGTTAAATTCCCATTGGGTCGAGTAGCTGGGTCAAAGTCTATCGGTACGAAAACAGAGCTGCGATACAGGCAGGTCATTAATCAACGCGTTCCAAACGTTTGGTAAACGTCAATCAGTTTTGAACGCTTATCCCCGCATAGACAGTGTAATCTAAGTTAGATATTTGTAATATTTTTACGGCGCCAGTAAATTCTTCAGTGTAGGGCTGGTGGGAGTAGGAGACTGGCGAAATTTCCAAAATAAATCTTATGGCTTAGTACCAAACCGAACAATGTTTTTCTCCCTATACTACAATACGGTGTAAAAAAACTTGACGTATAAGTAAATATAATGATTTAAATTTTTATAGCTGTTATTATACATGATACGCTCAACACTTGCATCATAATGAACCGCTGAAATGTTTCTTTAGTTTTTTAATTGCTACCTTCAAAATATCACACATTAAGTGGCATATACTATTATGTATTTTTTATTGTTCGGGTTTTTAATGATACACGAGCCACGTGCGACGTAGTAATAATATATTAATTATGTTGGAATGAAAACTTGTTAATTGTACACTTCGGTCTTCGGCAGTACATCGTATAATAACCGGTCTAACATCACACCAACAATACTATAAACAAAACACGTCAAGCAACTTTACAATAATAATTATATAGGTGCACTTGAAATGTATACGTGTTAGCACTCGACACTATTGTGTTTTCAGAAAATGTCCAACAACCCTTAATTGTTATTAAAAATGCATTTATCCTAATTAATAACAAAACTCCACTTAGTTATTCCATTTATATATGGGACTTTAAGGAACAATTGACTAATAATTTCAACATCCAGGGAAATAAAACAGGGTTTTTATGAGGGGGGGAAACAGCAATTGTGTTACGCTAGATAAAATAGTACATTTTTCTAAACAAACCGTCTCCTATAATACTGTTGTACGCTAATTACAATTTTTTTAGACGTTAAGGGGGAAATGTGTTGGACACTATTGACTTCTTTTAATTCCGGTCTGATTGATTTACCGGAACGGTTACTTAAATCAATCGACAAATGAGAATAACCTATTAAGCAGGTTCGTAACGCAGGTAGAAATATTTCTAAGTGTATTCTGCCCACAAAATTCCGTGGCGTAGTCCCAAGTAAATTACAACGATTTCGCAGCGTCGAAAACTTGAAACTAATAGAAAAAGATCGGGTTCTGGATATGTACAGCCCTACAATAAGTTAAATTGACTATTCTCAATTGAGTGTTTTCCTACCGGCTCTTACCACCATAACGTTTTCGTTTTACAGGTGCTATGGTACAAAGATACTTTACAGTTGGACATGAACGAATGGCGCATCATGGAATTCAAAGGCAACCGGTACACTTTGCGCATAAGGAAAGTGCAGAATACAGACTTTGGCAATTATTCTTGTGTGGCTGACAATGGACTTGGCAGAACCAGGCGATTCGTCGAGCTATCTGGTAATTATACATTTTTCAAATTTTTTCAAGGACGATACACCAAAAGTTGTATTTTAAGAGATCGCGGGTTTGGGGTGACATATTTTTGGTCTTTTGAAAATGCACAACATGTCAGCTACGGGCAGGCACCTGTCCACAAAGAGAGACTAACCAACCTTCTAATGGCTGATCGAACTAGGGCTAATAACTATATTAATAATAATAAATTAATACACGTTCGATTGCGTGCAAGTCGCAAGACTATTAAATATGACATAGTTTTAGATACATACGACAACGGTTTGGTCAAAACTCGCGTGCGCATAAATAATTAAACGTTGTGGGCATAATTTATTCAAAAATGACGTTAGGAAAATGACTTTGGACGACAAACAACAGCGACCAACACACGTTAAATACATTTTAATTAGTGCTGGATAAATAATAAGTGGATTACGTTGTCAGCATAATGCTCCGGTGTGTAACACCGCGTCTGGACAGAAATATATTAAAACAAGAGGATCAAAATTTCAACAAAGGATCCGCAAACCAGACACAGTCCCAAAGCGAACGAGAATTTGACATTAACATCGACAACTGCAGCGGTAAATATAGTTTTGGGTTCACTCGGGCCAAAAACTGTTGTTAAATTTAATGACAGCAACAGATAACTTACATGTTGCAGTCAACACAGAGTATAATATTAATTTTACTTGTTTTCAACATAACAAATATGAATATTTATGATGGTTGCATTCAAATGTTATCGCCGCTATTAAAAATAAAGACAATTATTCAAAGAACACAATATGCAATTATTTTACTCTTCTGTTTTGTCCTATGGTTTGACCAACACGACATATGGAAATATATAATATGGAATAGCTGATCGAACGTGTAGCTATTATGACGTGAAACAATATTAATCTTACAAAAGTTAAAAACTTACTAAAACTTACTTGTTAAATAGTACACAGATTAATATATTATAAATATGTTTGTTTTTTTTTTTTTTAATATTTTGTTACGGATTTTGTTATACAGGAAAACCAGATGTCGCTGCGTTCACTAGTAGCTCTGTAAGCAATACAAGGGACTCGTACAACATATCTTGGAAGGTAAAGAGCTACAGTCCTATTCAAGAATACAAGTTGCTGTACCGTCCCTTCAAGAACTCCACCAAGAGTATTAAAGAAAGCCACTACAAACGTCCCATGCAAAGGGTGAGCACGACTCTACTGAATAATAACCTTAAGTGCACTTTTAACAACTTCGTTGTACGCACAATAGTTATTATTATTAGTATTATACTAATAATAATAATAGCAAGGTGTACACCAGGAAGTCGCCTCAAAGTTTCGGGTATTTTCTTTGCGGGTGCATAGTAATCGGCTAGTGGCCATACATAACGCACTAAAGTAAATAGTTATTTGAGTTTAATTTCTGGTAGCGTTTTAGAGACCTTTACTAATTAAAGCTAATAACAGGGTTGGAGCGCAGTAAAAACAATGTAACGGAAAACGTTGATATTTTTTAGCCGCACAAATGCGTTTTAACACGAAAGTATACAATTTCAAAACTAAACGTGCTATTAAAGAAACATGTTTTTTTTCATAAAACTACTACTTATAGTAAGTGACGCGTTCAGAAAATAATGCCATAGGGTAAAAACACGTATTTGACCAAGAGCCTAAATTAATAGCTGACATTTTAAAATATTTTCAACTCAAAATATAATTTTTTTTTTTTATCCACAAGATTGTTATTTTTTAATTATTTCAATTTGAATTTTAACTGCTCCATTTCCGTTAGTTTTACTGATAGATTAATAAGAGTCGTGTCATTGATTCAACATAAAATTGACAGGAAAAATTTAAATGTAAATTAAAATTGTTTCACTCCAAGGAGAATTACCATTATATTATATTATATTATAATATCTTCAATAAAAATGTGTTGATTAAATATTCTGGCGTCACAAATTAGGTTATTACCGCAGAAACTTAAATTTTTTAAAAATCTTTTTTGCGTTCAGCCCGTAAATAAGATTATAATATACTTACAAAATACAGTTTATAATATTATAAAACTATATAAAAGACCTATTCTTAACCTTCGTTCATAAATCGGTTCAAATTATAAGCTGGGAAAATAAAAATATTGTACCTGTGAATTTGGGTTTGTGTGTGTGTGTGTGTTTATACTTTATACCATGCAATTAGCAGTACTGGTCCCAAAAGACTACGCTCTCGCAAATGGTCCAATAAAAACCAAAGGGGAAAATATGTTGCTGGACGAATAGAAGTATTAATTGGGTATTTCTGCGAGCTGGCAAATTTATGAACTCTATTTTGAGCGCGTGTTATTATGGAAACCAACCATGCCATCAGTTTAAATGTACTGCATAGACATGAGGGGCTGTAAACCGATTTGAAAATTGCAAATCCCAGCGTCCTGGCATTTACGTTTTATGACATTATGGGCCCATTCAAAATTAACTAGTGGAACAAGTGGTTAACACACACTATCGCTCTCTCTCTCTCTCTCTTTCTCTTCCTATCCAAACACTAACCAGCACACCAATTGGCAACAATTTACGCGCAGCAAAAAATACATGTCAGCCGGCTATTTATATTGTTTATAATTAATAGAAGTAACATAACTGACATAAATCCGTTTACCTTCTAGAGAATAAACATAAAAAAAAACCAGTACAGTGGGGTCGGTGCATAGTGGGGACGGAGCATAGTTGGGTCGGGGCATAGTGGTGACGGGGAGGTCACAGGTTTACAGGAATTTTTAAATCTGAAAGTGATAAAATCACTTTCGAAAAAACGCTTCGATGTAAATCGGTAGTTAGTATTTTCAAGCCAGTACAGTCCAAACCAAGCACAGTATAAACCAGCAAAGTTAGAAAGTTTTAAATGAAGGTTCTGTATTTACAAATGAGCATCAAAGCGTTAATTTGAAAGTGATTTTATCCGAAAGGACTAGTACAGTAGAGTATTGGCATAATGTAATCAAAGCAATGAGAAAACGGAGAGGTCACGGGTCTACAGGAATTATTATAGATAAAAGTGATAAAATTGAATAAAATCACTTTCAAATTCACTATGCCCCGACCCCACTGTACTGGTTTTTTTTTTTTTTTGCAAAAACTTAGTGGACCAAATAACACATATACAATGTCTTGTTATATTTTGTTGGAATGGTCGACGATTCATGTTTCAATCGTTTGTACTCCATAGTTTAAATTATAATCGCTTATTCTCAATAAAATTAATATTTATGTATTATATACTTTCATTGAAGCAATCTCACACAAACTATTTATACTTCACAGATTATATTATTTCAAAGCTATATTATACTTCTATTTTACTAGATTGACAATGTACAAAATAAAATGCAACTAAAAAAACCTTTTCATAGATCCTTAAAATGTAAAGGGTGGGATAGTGAAACGGGTTTTACCATTTAAATACATTAGAAAATCGCCTCATAATACTGCCTCATCCTGTATATTAATTTCTTGTTATTTTCTAAAGAAAAATCGATTTTCTTACATTTAAATTAAAATAAATCGTATACTGGTACTGTGATGGAGAAAACAATACATTTTACCTACATATATTACTTATTAGTTAAATATTACTAACGTGTATAGCCACTAGCAGTCGGCTGTTGCCTGTTATTTAACAATAACCTTTTATGGAGATTTTAAAAATTGTGTTTTTTTAATAATAGCATAGGAGCAGTATCATGATGTTAAATGTTTACGAGATTTGATCTAGTAATAAAATAAAGTATTATCATTTATGACTTAATTATTATTAAAATTTATCTTAATAGTAATAGTACATAGTAATAAAATAATGAAATATTTTATACAAAATTAGAGCTACAAGTTGATAAACTAAAAAATTAAAATTAGCACGAAGCAGATTATCTAATATTAGACAATTTAAACAATCAAGCGTGAATCTCTTTAAATGAATAACAGTATAACAATGTACAAAACATTAGTTTTCCTTTAAAAAAATTGTGTAATAAAAAAAACATTTTGAGGCGGTATACTGCATAAAAACCAACACTTAATCTGAATCCAAAAAACAACAGTCCTCTTCATTATTTGCAGGTAGTTGGACATTATACACTCATAATTACACTTCGGTAAGGTTATATAACGCAGGCTATAAAATAACGAGATAACGACAGTGGTTTTGTCGTATCAGAATCATTAAGTGTCTTAATAAGTACACGGATAGGTTTTTTCCCAATAAATCGAGTTTCTACTATAATCAGTTACACGATTTAGTCGCCTGTGATATCATGTAATAAACACAATATTATGATACCGATCATTGGGTCCTAACCTAATCTAACTCGGATAGACGTTACCAACTGATAATTTTTAGTGTCTGTTCGTTTCTCACAACTGGTACACCGGGTTTTTAGTTAAAAAAAAAAAAAAAAAAATTGAATTTGTGTAAACTTTAAGTCAAAAGTGGTACTTGAGCACAAAACCTAATAGTATCATTCTGCATAGATATAAATAAAATTGCTTTAATGATTTGATCAATTTTTTTTAAAGATTTTAGGTGTTTTTGTTAAAATATACGAAATCTGCGAAAACACAGTTTCCCGGCAATTAAAAAAAAACTGTAGTGCCGAATTTTTTTCCCGTTTAATATGTTATGGGTACATATGAGTTCCAACTACTGGCAAATTTTCAACCCAAAAGTTTCAAAATTACCGCTAAAAACCCCGAAAAACAAAAAAAATTGTACCCCCCCTAGGGGGGTGGGAAATGGGTATAGTTTAAGTTTGACACAACTGACGTGTGCGGGCATACCAAGTAATTATTTCTTATACATTTCAACTCGATCCGACTCTTTTTCTCGAAATTATAGCCAGTAAAAGTTCTAACTTAAAAACTCGTACGGTTTTTTTTTTGTTTTTTCAACTTTCGTCTGTGAAGAATTAAACTTTTTCAACTTTTACCCCCCCCCCAAAGTACCAACTAGATGAAATTTGCGATTTATAGAGTTGCTACTCGAAGGAATTGGTCCAGTATTAAAAAAGTTACAGTGTATACAGATAAAAAAAAAACACACATCAGAGTAAAACCAATACCTTCTCGCTTTGCATCGAAGCTAAAATAGAGTAAAATTACCAAGACAATATAGGTAATCGAAAATGATACGAAATAGGAAACCTTATTTTGATATAATTTCTAAAAAGTGTAGTGTTTTTTAAATTATTTTATTATTTGAACTTATTTTTGCTAACCATATGCTTGATATTTCAATAACAGTGTATAATGATGCGTTATTTTTTGTAAAAACTGACCAACCATGACTGATTAATTACTACTTAATATAAATATACAAGATATATATGAAAGTTGTAAGCTGTATTTCTTCTATTTGATTAAATTATGCAAAAATATACTAAAAACTCTGTCCTCTCTAAACAAACGTGTTGTAAAAATTCCATACAGACGTATAAATCGTCATGGCAGTGGACATTAAACGAGTATGTGGGTGACTTCGTACTCAAGTGGTACTTGTATACACCGAACACAATAATTATTGCTCACAACTCACAACTAGACGATAATAATAATAATTGTTACCACCTAGTCGGCTTGTACAAACGTGAAGGCACATTAAAGTGTTACGTTCGAGTGCCGTGATTTGTTTCGAGGGGAATGTGGACAAGACTTTTCCTTAGACCGTTAAAAGACGAATGGTCTAGTGTGGCGGCGAAGCTATTGAAACGTAATGTTTGCAGGCGCCACCAAAGCCTCATAAAAATCCGCAGAAACGATAAAGACACGCTATTCCATATAAATAGACTATCCTTTAGGTCGACCGCTACCGTTGTAGAAGGGTGTGGGTTGTTTTATGCCTTTGCAGTTGTTTGCCTCGGTTAAACCGTCGAGTGCAAAATCGCAATCTATTCTAATTTAAAGCTATACAATTGAATTTTTTTTCATTAATATATATACATATATTAATATATTTATCAACGAATATATACCAAACGATATTTATTTTAAAAAAATGAGTTCATCTGGAAAGTGTAAAGCAAAACGGGTACAACAGAAAATGTATACTTTATAGAATCGATATTAGCTGTTGATAATCATTACTAATAAAACAATGATAACATATTTTATTTATGTATATATTGTTATTTTTTAATTTTGTTTTTAAATAATTTAAATAATTTTATAATTGTTAATTAATTTAGATATTTTGTGGAACTCGTCTGTAAAAGTTTTACTAAGTATTTTATTTTATATAAATAAGTATACCTAAAACTGGTAAATTTTATAAATAGTATTATGAAAATGAAGTTCCTAATATTGATTTTATTTTACAGGTTACAATCAAAGAAATTAATTTCATAAATCAAATTTTGTGTCCCATATTTAGTTATTAAATCTAGTATTCTTAAACTATAAACGTCCAATGAAAGATTTGGTTGCGTCTTATTTATTTTTTATCAAAGCGAAATAACAACAATTACTAATGGTTAGTAAGAGCTAACAACGAGTGAGCTATGCGAAGATTTTATTAATTATTATTAATTTTATTAATTTTGTATAACTTTTAACACATATACTTATAATTTTTAATAAATTTCTATGTTTATTATGTTTGTGGTATTAAATGCTAATAAAATGATTTAATTACAACAAAATAAAAGCAAAAGCAATTTAAAGTGTTAACGTCCGAAAATCACATTTACGGCAAATAAAATTTAATTTGATGAGTGATTTGCAGGGTACCCGAAACTTTTAAATAAAATACATTTTCGAGGAATTGAACGAAAATTTTTTAATTTTTCGTAATTGTTTTCAATTCCTATCTTTTATCGACGGATGTTTCATAATCGTGATCATATTATCGTTTTCAAATAATTTATATTTTACAAAACAAGAATTTACTCTTGCTAACACTGTACTAACGGTTTTTTTGTAAACTATTCTAGCGCTACGACGACTGGAACGAAATACTCTTGAACCCTCAACGCACCGACGTCGTGGATCAGGCAATGTCTCAGGTGATCACTTCCTTGGAGCCCATTACCTACTACGAAGCCACCGTCCAATCCCGAAACCGCTACGGCTGGAGCGAAGTTTCCAAATCTTTCTCCTTCTCTACCCTCGAGAAGAACGGTAATTTTGGCCTCAACAAATTTTATATCTGAATTATATTATTTTAACATGAAACAGCATGTTTCATGGGCTAAGGGTCCGTATACAATTAGCGTCATCAATTTCCCGCTAACGTTTACGCGACAGTGATAAGAAACAGCTGACCACATGAATGCTGATAGGAGGTAGCTGATAAAGTATTTTTGATATAACGAATAGACTGATGATAATGGTATTTGATAAAAGACAGATGATAAGGGATAGAGGAAGGAAAGGGAAGGAAAAATAACATGAATACTAGCGTATTGGTAATATAGCGTATATGGTTCATTTTTTTTCTATTCTATTACTTATAATAATATTATATACTTATTTCTATTACCAATATTTCTATTTGTACTTATTGTTAAAATTAATACGTTTTCCTTCAACTATGTTACAGAAGTGGCTGCCGGAGGCAAATCAGTTTTCCGTGGTAAATAATTGTCAACTGTTATTATAATAGTTATAATATAATAGTCAACAATTCTATGTTTTTTCGCAAAACGTAACGGTATCAATATGTTTTTTTCAGACCCAGAATTGCGAGGCATCACCGCTACCTCTGCTGTCAACAACACTCCAGACACCATCCGAACATTGTTGCTTTGCGTCATGATCGTGGCCATCCTTTTCCTCGCTTAAATTCCCAAAAAGTATGTATGGAGTATTAAAAAATTATATAAAATAGCATTCACGATGACACAATACAATTTTTTTTTTGTAATATTTTCAGAAACCCATCTTCTCAACCTAACACACTTATTCCTCCCTAGTGAACCTGCATGTTCTTTATGAACCTTTATAGAAACACAGACATCTTTATTTATACCCAACGTCTACGTCTCCTATACTCAAGAAACTACCACACCTTAACTTCGGATATCAACTTATGTGTTACCAAACCTACATGGAAATCTTCAATTTTAGAAAAGACTCAATAGATCATTACGTTTATTTATTTTTTAAACATAAACTATCTATTTCTAAGTTAGTCGTTCAATAGTTAAGTATTATCCATAAAATAAAAATCGATAAAAATACAATTAATCAAGATGAACTAACAATAAGATACAATGGTCGGGTGTGGTACCTAAACCTCGCAGATAACTTTACATAGGGCGAAAAATCATTAGGCTAAATAGCTAATTCCAACTAGCTAATTATAAAACAACTAATATGATAAATCTACATTCTATAAAAAAGCCTCAAAAACATTAAAATATTTAATTAACTATTTATTTTTCTTATAATTTGTTCATAAAATAAATATATTAATTATAGAATATTTCAACAACAATTAATTTTAACATAATATAACATCAGATTTCATTTAATATTTATTGAGCTATATGTTCTTTAACATTAAAATTCAGTATAGTATATTATTCAGAATAGCCTAATGAATATTTATATTCAATACTTTTTTCTGTATGCTACGTGGAATTAGCTTAATGGCTTTCGCTTATTTAGATTCGGCCTTTAACTATTTCCCCACCAATGTTCATAAATTAACATGTGTGTAAATTCTTATTTAACCCTATAATGTTAAATCACTTCCTTGCTTAATTTCCCAAAATATATTCTTTATTGAAACTGTGGCCAAAACCATAATATCTACCTACTTTAAGACTGTCTTCTCTTTTACTTTCTTTTAACATCTTTAACAAAACCAAATAATAAATAAAAATTTTAAACAAAGATAAGTTTTAAAAAAAACTATCGCGCAATGTTGAGATCGTTATTTTATCATCTGAATGATATTTTAAAATCGCGTTTGTACAATCGCATTACAAAAACAGAAAGATAGGATTTACTTCATGATATGACAGATTTACATTTATAATGTATGTCAATCTATCAAATCGGTAATGTGCTGACCCTATCATAAAATGAATATCAATATTAAGGTGCTTACAGACGATATATTATAGTCAGAGCAGGCAGACAAGTTAAATTAGTCAAATCAGATGAATTATAAATCGTGTGAAGGTTTATCTATTGACTTAATTCTAAACCTGACCATGTGCAAGTCAAAATGCCAAAATTTACACAACAATGGATTTGTTTAGGTTTCTTTTTTTCCGTAAAAAACTACTACTCCTGAGAGGAAAACGGTTGAACGATGCTTCCTCCCGGTTGAAGACTCATTTATGAATTAGACAAAATTTAAAAATTTACACTGGAAGAGATAAAACAAAATAACGATAATTAACTATGTAATATATAGGTAAAAAAAAATACAATAAGATAAACGTATGGTCAGGTTCACGATAAAGATAGTCAGGCTACCTGTTGGAACGATTAGATAATATCGTCTGCGAGTACCTTTAAAAACAGTTTTTCCGTTCAAAGGTCTGCATTATAACAATGAAAGAAGTTCCTTTCGACCATTTCTTACAGCAGAAATGTAAAAAATAATAATAAACATTCGTGCATCAAAATCATTGTTTAAAAACACTTCATTTAGATTTAAAATTTATTAGAACGGTTAATTAATAATAAAGATATTTGGCTTATAAATTTGAAATACATTAGTCTACTGTCTAGATGTAATTTTGGAAAAAACCAGTTACAGTGTTGTAGTCTTACATTAGTTAATGCTAGTTACCTTACTTATACTAATTATAAGATATTATAAGGAACAATTTTTTAAAAACATGTATATTTAAATTATTGTTAGTAAGATAGTATGCTATTTTAAACTAGTATTCATTAGGCGTTTAAATTTAATGCTTTATTAGATTAGATATTTCATGTCGTCAGTCGGATAGCACGATGTGAGTTGAAATGTTACCTAAACGAGACAGATAATTTTGTTGTTCATCATACGTTTATTTCATGATTATGTTTTTTCAAAAACTAAATACTTACTTTTCAATTGACAAGCCATCATAATTATGTTTTAGTGAATTTTATTGAAGTTTGACAATAGCTCCGAACTACAAAAATCAGTGTTTAAATGTTAATAATAAAAAGAAATATCACATTTAATTTTTCAAAAAACTTTTGTTTATGTAAAATAAAAACCGGTTTCGTTTTTAATTATATAAATTCAGTTTGAAATATTATTAAAATGCATTTTTTTTTAAATTCTGTTCGCTCTTATAAAAAAATGAACTGATTGTATTTGAATGAGGAGAGATTTGAGGCTGTCGACAAAAAAAATACTTATTTCTATCTAATGGCACCTGTTTTAAGTATAACTTCTTTAAACTAATTATATTTTAAGCATATGATATTACTATTCATATTGTTTAACTTATACTGCTGTATATAAAAATGGATTTAATTTCAAATGTTGCCGTAAATTCTTTATTGGCTGTATTGAATTAATCATTTAAAATTGAACAACCGTTAAATAAAATACATTAATACTGTAATACGGTTGATATTATGATCACATGATATTTTCAATAAATCAGTGGTGCCTAAACTAAACAAAAACTCATCGGAAACGTTAATTACAAGTAATTTCATCGCACATTATTGGTACACTCGAATCTTAATAAAAATGAAATAAAATAAAAAAACATCTGCGTCATATAATTTATTTTATTTACTTAATATTATACATCTGATTGTATATTGTTGAAAATAATGGTGCTAAATAGCAACAGGTTGTTACTTTGAAACAAAATATAATGCAATGTAACACAATTTTATCAAATTTGTCATTTAAAACAAAACAAAAGTACAGTTAAAAAATCGTGCCAGTAAATTAGAATAGGTCATTTCATTAATAATAATAAATAATATTATATTATAGTTCGCATCTCATAAAGTTTGGTAATTGCTAAGTGCTATCTTGGAATTCCAGGATTCCCAGTTATCTATCCCGAGTGCTCCAGTAAACAATATTATTATACGCAATACACTTATTAGTGTATTTAATTATAACAAATTCATAATAATATATTATTACATTTTTTTATTAAAACATAATTTACTTAAGTCGGCAAACGTGTAGTATGAAAATTTAGAAATATATATCATTAGTATTTGAAACTAGTTAGTAGGTATTATACAAGAACAGTGAAAACATTACATTATAGTTAAGCTAAAAATTATAAGAATGTCTTGTATTCTAGAAATAATCAACAAAATACATGAATTGGGAACACCTGGTAATTCTGATAATCAAATTCGACCATAGACACTTTCTTGTTATCACAACTACCAAAAACTATCAAAGTGACGGTTAATCGACTTAAATAATATAAAGCAGCGTTTGCCATATTTTGATAAATTTAAGTAATAACGAGAAAAATTAATTAAAAAAAATAAACAAATTTACATCCACATTGAAATATTAAATCATATTGTTTTTGATACAAAAAAGAACATTTTTGAACATCCAAAGAAATTAATTTGAATAAATTTAAGATCATAAAATACTGACTTTATATGAACTTTACACAAGCCTAGTAGTCGTGATAACAGGAAACCCAATTACAATAGATCAAAATATGTATTTATAATGTATAATTGCATTGCACGTTACACAGATAGTTGTGATTGCCAGTTGGAAATGTTGATTTAAGTGTTGGTAAAAATTAATTGTTAAGTATATTATACTGTATAAGATACCTACTAGGTATATTTTTATTTATAATGATTATATAATTATCGAATGGTTAGAGATATATTTAGTATTTTTTAAAAATATACATGCATAATTATATATTTAACTTACTTTAACACATCGAAGTTAAAATTGCATCAGCTGAACAAACTGATTTTTTTTTGCTAATAACAAGTTAAAAATAAAAAAATTAAATCTTATGTTCTAGTCATTTAATTTTAAAGTTAGTACTCTTCAGTTGACATTTCTTCTAAAAATATCATGAACTTTGATCACTTTTTATTTTACAACCATGTTGTAACTTTTCATTTTTAATTAAAATTTTACCTAATCTAATACTTTTGAACTCATCAACAAAAGTTAATTTTGATACATTTAAATAATTCAGATACGTAATATTGTATTCGTTTTTCCATTCTTAACAATACTTACACTAATCAATTTTTATGCATTCATGTCAAACTACATAATATGTTATAACTATAAATAATGTTACAAATATATTTACATATACATTTACAATTAAGCGCATTTAAACGTATACGGTTTTAATTAAAATTGTATTGTAAGACTATAGTATTATTAATTACTTTAGATTATTTAAGTTATTTCGTTTGTATAAAAAAAATTACACACACTATTTTGCTTAACTTGTTCAAAAACTATAAATAATTAAATTTTTTTGCGACATTTAATTAATTCTACAAAACTATTGAGTTAATCTATAACACATTTTTAACAATTTTCTCATGGCATGTTATGTATAGTTTAGTAAGATGTTACAAATTCCAAAAATTGGATTTCAATATCGTTTCTATGTAACCTAATATTCAAATTCATATTTATGTTGTGTTTAAAAGGTTCTTTTGTACAATTACGTTGTGAACTATTTTCTTACAAACATATAAATAAAAAACTGTTTAATTAATAACATATGCAAAATGTTCAAAAGACTTGATGTAAGGGTATATACTTCTTGATTATACTAAAATGACTTCTGGCATACTACAATATAATTTTTCTAATACAGTGCATTTTTTAATCTGGCTTTTTATATTCTTTATTATATTTTCTTGATTTAAAAACATACTATGTTACTATGTACTATTATTATTGTTATAATCGTAATTAATTCTTATTGTATTATAGATAAAAACTTAAATTACTTTTATAATTAATAATGATCATATTATAATAAAAATCTGCAAGCCATTAAAGTTTGTGAAAATCAAATAACTAAAATATAAATACTGATGTATTATATTTCAACATACTGATTTGGTCATTTTATGACTATTTGAACTATATTTAGTTGAACTGTGTTTTATTTTCAAACTTAAAAACATATGTAACACCATTGCATAAACGATGTAATAGTATTTATTTCATTTTCTGTAATAACTTGTGTGTAATAAATGGATTTTATCCACTCGATTTGTTCTTTAGTTTAAACTAAGAAGATCTATAGTCCGATTTAAGTGTTATTACTATTGAGTTTTGTACAATGAATTTTCTGAGTATTCAGAACTATTAAAAAAGAAAGTAATAGTTAAAAACAATTTTTTTCACGGACTGGAGGGATATGGGAGAATAAATTGGGAGTGAAGTGAGGAGAATCCATGATACGGGGGAGAACGATAGGACAGGAGAAGCCAAAGGTGAATAACATTCTTAAAATGGCGGCAGCAAAAGAAAACACCAGTACAGTTCAAACCAAGCATAGTTTAAGCCAACGCACAGTTCAAACTAGTACAGTTAAAACAAGTTTGATTATAATAAATAAATAAGGATAGTGATTCATGAAGGGTATAAAGTATAACCTAGTACAGTATAACCAAGTATAGTCTAAATCAGTATAGTGAGTACAAACCAAGTATAGTTTAAATCAGTACAGTTCAAACCAAGCAAACTGTTAACCAGCACAGCCATAACCAGTATACTCCAAACATGTATAGTTTGCTTGTATTGGACTGTACTGGAACTTGATTCATACTCGAAATGTATAAACTATACATGGTTTTTAATTATTATTTTGATAAGTATAAGTATACATATATTATATTTATAATTTTTTAAAATCCGAAAAAAATGTATAATTTCAGTTTTTTTTATTTTAAAAAGAAAACATGTCTTGGTATAATTTGGTTTTATGCATAGCTTGGGGGTAATAAATGAAAAATGTGCCTTAATAATAAAATGAAGTCATACATTTTTTTTCGGGTTTAAAAAAAAAGTGTCATTATTAAAAAAAAAAATAGAAATAAATCTCGGTCCATTCCCATTATTCAACCAAAATATTTTATTTGAGTCTCTGGTTTTAATTATTTTATGATGTAAATTTCAGAAACAGTTACTGGCGATTTCTCTTACTGCGGAGGGTGAGGTGCAAATTTTTATAACAACAAATTTTAATTACAAATATTTGTTTTACACATGTTATAGGTATAATATGTTAAACCTATCTTCAGCAGTAGCGTATCTAGGATTTTTCCACGGGGAGGGATATACAAATTTAACAGCCATACCTATTCAAAATAAATATATATTAATAGTATTATATATGTGTTGCATTTAAACAAAAATGTTGGATTCTTAACTACAAAACAAAGTCTAATTTTCTTGAGGACAGTGAAAGAATATTGAGTACTTCATCAGGTATGACTGTTATATTTTTGTATACTGGTAGGGCCCCGGGGGATATAACCCCCATATCCCCCCCCCTTAGTAAATACGCTACTGATCTACAGCCTATTATTATGGTAAAGCTGTAATGCTCACATTTTGGTAATATTTTCTAAATTAGATTCTAACCAAACATCATTCAACTCTTCATTCTATATATTATGAAATCGTTTTATCTTTTTTATCACTTGAAACTTCAAAGGATTTAAACTACGATAAATGATGAAAAAAAATTACAATATAAATTACTGATAGTCTAACAAAAAATAAATAATAAGCAATAAAGAATTATCATTACTATATTAACAAGTATATAGTTTTAAAAAAAGATTTTTCGAATAACTGCCTATTATTGACTCATTAATAAATAAATGGTTTGGCGTCCTCTTAATGAAAATTAAAATTACAGAACGGTCAATTCGTAAAACTTTTTAAAAAATCAATATTATAATCGATTAAATTAAAAAAAAAGAATCATTCAATTTGTTGATTTCATAATACACTCTTTTGGCATTATGATTGCACAGCGATCAGCTATTATATATTATATATATATTTATTATTTCAATATTATTATATATATATATATATAGTGGCCTTTGCTGCCGAGGGTAATAATAACAAAAAAAATATATGTATATTCAAAACTTGTTTTTTGTTTTTTTTTTAATTATTTTTTTCTGATCTATTGTTAGAATAATGTGTTATGTAAGTATATCGGAATTCTTCGCAACAAATTGAGGAATAAATTTAAAAAAATTTAATACCCCTAAAATATATTTTTACTATTAAGGGTATATATATCAATGTTTTCGCAAATTTTACATTCCAGGGCCTTAATTAGTTGGATAGTATAGTTTTTTTTGAAAAAAAAAAATAACGGGTAATTCCTCTTTTTTTAATGATGATTTTGTATACAAGCAACATTTGTTTAAAATTGATATTAATACCTTAAAAAAAATAAAAAATTTTTTTGAAAACTGATGCTTGCAACTTTTAAAAATAATTTTAATAATCTGAAAAAAATAGGGAAATATTATTTTACACCAAGGAACATAATATCATGAGAAGAACAAAAAAAAACAAAAAAAAAATTGTTTGGTACACCCTAGCATGTATATTATTACTTATAATGATACTAGTTTAATAAAGTTTAATATCACTCAACCGCACTCCAACTTCCATTCTAAATTTTAAACTTTAGTTACCTTTAGCTCACAAGGTGAAAGAAATATAGATAAAAATTCAAATCTTTACAAAGTCATAACAAGCAAACAAATGGATAAAAATTCAAAAAATAATATTTTTTAAAAATTTTTGTCTACATATTTATGGAATTTAAAACATATGTTGCCATTTGAAAAAGTCATGTTCTATCCTTTTTTCGTATAAGAGTTGGAGATACATATTTTCACATTATTGAAAAATGTAGTACAATGTGTACCTAAAAGTATAGGAAATTTTTTTTTTGTAATGTTCATATTTTCCGAGAAAATTAGTGTCATACCCAAAATGAATCACCCGGTACAACAAAGTAATTAAAAAATGTTGAATTCATAGGGTTTTAACACGTAAGGGATGGTTGGGGTTTAGATTATGTTGTTAAAAAATATATCAAACTTCAGCATACTTATAACTATAATAATAATAGTATAAAAATAATAACTAAAACAAATAACTTAAATCTCAATTTCGATATTTGCCAATTATAGTTGGTATATATTTCATTTGGAGTTAAAACTAGTTGACCTGAGACCTTCAAGATCTCGATTTCGTCGAAACATTTCTGTTTCGGCCATCTCTCTAAATACATTATTTAAATTAATACAATCGGGTTTACAGTACAGACAAAAAGTTTAAATACACACGAGGAAACAACAATTTTTTTATTTTTTTTATTTGTTTTACGAAAATAACTTACTTAATTTACTTAATTTTGGTGCGTAAATTTTCTGATAATTCTTAATGTAATTATAGAAAAAAAAATAAGAAAATGTTACTCAATCGCCATGGCAATAACTGCACATTAATCAGATTTAAGGGCAACTCCTTCCCTTCTCCCATCATCAGGGTCTCCTTGTGTATGAAATAGGAAGTCATCTTTTAACAGGTTAAGCACCAAGACAAAAAAAATCTTAAACCATAATACCATGTAGGGTTTATGGACCCAACGGTGTAATTCAATATTATGATTTATCATTGAAACGCAAAAATAACATAACAATACCTTGACAGAGACTCATTTTTTAAATTAACCTTAATTAGCTGAATACAAAAAAAAAAGAGAAACAACTACAGATACAATAAATTGCATTCCCAGATTAAATTTCCCAATAGAGTTCAAGTTTATTAAGAATTCAAAAACGCTTTCTTCGCACAAAAAAATCAACTTAATCATGATAGTATGTTCTTACTGGTGTGAAATATGTTTTGT